CTAGGCCTCGCGGAAGCAACGTGGACGAGTTGTACCTTCCGACTTCAGACCAGCCACAATGGCAGCAACAGAGGGGAGGTGGATGCCAAGTGGAGGGACATGTTCAAATGCGTAAGGGGGGAGACCGAAGGAGTTGTCCGCGTACAAATAGCTCTCTGCGTACCACTTTGAGCGAATTTTTCCTAGCGTAGAGGGGGTCAAATTGAGTGGGACTTGTTGCAATGGCCCATTTAAAGGTCACTGTAATAGAATATGTGAAGATCCGCGCGACCTCAACTTTGGTGAGACACTGTCTTTAAGTGGTCCTTGGAGCTTTCGCGTGGCTATGGTGTCAGCCCAAGTCTCAGCTGCGTAACAGAGCGCCGGGAGAACGTTGAGTCGAAAAAGTGGGGACGAAGCTTCGAGCCCGTCAGTTGGTCGGTGGACTCCTTCAGAGGCCCGAAGGCTACTGAGTCTTCTTCCAATTTATTCGCAAACCTATCTTCTTCCTTGCTTCTTTTAGTTTCTTCAGCATTGTCTCCGCTTCAGTGACACTGCTCGAAAAGACAAGATTTCTTCCGCAGATGAAAGTTCGATAGGAACCTCCCATCAACTCATATGCCTCTCTCGTCCCAGTCCAGTGACTTCATTACCCACTGCAAGGCCGCGAAAACTTCATCACCCACTGCAAGGTAGCGATAAACAGTGGCGAGCTGTCGCCTTGTCGTACCCCTTCTTAATTGGAATGGTCAGGGGCGATGGAATAGCTGCATCGCCGATGTACAGTCCTTGTAGCAGTCGGCTACGTCCTCACGTAAGCTGGGTCCACTCTCGACTAGCGCAGGTGCAGGGAAGCCGTTGGTTGCCGACACTGTCAAAGGCTTTCTCGCAGTTGTCAAAGGTTGAGAGAATAGATAACGGTACTCCCGGCAGATTTCTGTGATCCTCGGAACCATCTAGATGTGGTGCATGCAGCTAAATCCTTTGCGAAATCCGGGAAATCCCGATTGTTCTTGGGGTTGAGCTTCATCCACTGTATCCTTCATCCTAAATATGCGAGCGAGGATAATCTTTGTGAAAAGCTTGTACAGCACACTCAGCAGGCATATTGAACGACCGTTCCGATGATCTTCCCGTTCACTCTTTTTGAAGAGAAGAACGGTTCTTGATGTTCTCCACCGATCGGGAATCCTTTCCTTTTGAAAGTAAAATGTCAGGTGCGACGCAAGATTTCGTGCAGACCTGTCTTCCGGCTCGCAGAAATTCGACTGAAAGATGGTCTGGTCCTGGAGCCGTGGATCTCTTCATGGTCTGTATCGCTGTGCTTACTTCAGGTAATTTCGTGGTGGTGCTTCTCCAGTAAGAACAACGGACATTGGCACGGTGTTGATGAGGGGGGGGGGGGATATAGAGGTTCTTCGCGATAGCTTTCATCTTATATCGGAAACAAGTTGGAGTCCCGTCTTCGTTCAATATTGGAGTCAGCGGCACGTGATATTCGCAAAGGTTCCCTCGGCACTTCTTAAGACTAAGTCTCCCTCCGGCTGCTTCCAGTGTCTTGGCTTGTGCTTGCCTGTGCGGAGGCTGTGACTCTTATGTTGAAAAGCCCTGTACCTAACTATGCAGCGCAAACCCCCCTTGTGCCGCGGTCGAATTCAGGCAACGGCCAGATTTTGATTGGGGCAGACTGTGCGGGAAAGCGTATGCATCTCGCGAGGGACAGTGGTGCGGCCTTGCTGCTTGTTTGAAAAAGGGGGGGGGAAGGTGCGTCTTGCACGCGTGAAATTAGGTAGGTGCCAGAGTAAGCGGATATTTTGTTCAGGTTGGGGTCTCGCGCAGAATTTACGTCTCTCACCATGCTGGCGTCAGACGTCAATTCTGCGCGGGACCCCAACCTGAACAAAATATTCGCTTACTCTCGCACCTACCTAGCGTGCTCTTGAAAGTTTTGAAAATTTCGACTGGCGGAATAACGCGCTCTATCGTGATTCACGTGATTAGCACGCGCTGAACATGTGGATGGTCGGCCGAGTTTTGAACGAGATCAATTCATCGTTTTGCGTAGGCGACGACACTTCCACATTGTCTGTTGACTCTGTCATATTGATGTTTCGTATGATTTGCAGTTCTTTCGATCCAATTCATCTTCACTTGCAGATGTTTCGTTAGGAAGGAAGCAGCAAAGGAAGACTCACGGGGCGCATGTTGTCTGTGCAAACAACGTATTTGCTTCTGCTTGTAAGTTGTCAGAAAGGCGGTCGGGCAGGAGGCAGCAAAGGATAGCCGCTTTTGCTCATGGAAGTACCTGGAGAACTTCAGATTTTCGCTCGCCTCTAATTACTTCTTCGCACTTCTAATTATTTGATATGACCTATGCCAGATTGATCGTTGATTTCAAGAGTGGCAATTTTAAGATAGCTTTTTTGTTTTGAATTAGCAAATAAGATAACAGGTTCAAAAAGGACTGATAGATAGCCATTCAACGTCAAATGATTTGAAGGTATGAATTGGTCCATTCAATCTTCAAACTAGAATCTCAATTATGATCTCATTCCCAACAATAAATCTTTCTCAGTTATTCCGATCGAAGACAAGGATTTTGAAGACTAATTGTACTCGTCCTTTATTTTGCGGCAGAATCACTTCCTTCTGTTAAGAATTTTGGAGTAAAATGTCCTATCATTTAAATAAGCTGACAACGATTATAGCTGAGATATTGCAAGATTCTCAAATTGATCCAGACTGAGATACTCTTCAAAAAGACTTTCTTTCAATCCTCTAGCTTGTAAAGTAATCAGAGGTGCGAAAAGTGATTAGAGGCGCGAGGAATCTGGAGCTCCCCAGGCACTTCCAGAAGCAAATGCGGTAAGCCTTTGCTGCCTCCTGCATGACGTCCTGTCAGAAAAATGTATTAGGGTTTCAGTATTTGTTCATCAATCACGTGTTTGTTTATCATCTAAGGCCAATCATTTCAGTCACACTTCAGCTACAGCCCACGTCATATGCATCCGGCGATCAGGAAACATCAACGCCATACGTATCATAGTAGAGGTGGGTAAATGGTTATGCACATCTCTGATTGCTACAATTGAGGTTTCACGTGAGCTTTTGAGATTACTTGCATGTGCGAAAGAACTCGTTAGTATGTGAACTTTGGCGTTTACCCATTAGCTTTAGACCGTTTCTTCCTTGGGTTTTCCTTCTTGCTCTTCTTACGCGGTTGGTTCCTGTTTTTCTTTGTTGTGTCCTTGTTCTTCTAGCTAGCGGCAACTGTAGTTATCATTGTCTGTAAATGACAGAGTTCCGCTTTCGAGCTTATGATATAAATTCTTGTTTACCATCGCAACCGCCTAGCAACTCGCCCGAGATGTTCCATTCTAGACGAACACAGACAAAGTAAATTCGTGTTTTTCGTATTGTTAAATTAGGCTCGCTAGCGGAAACGTCACTTTGGTAGCGTTTTATAGTTGTTGAATACATCAGTTCACATAATAGAAGGTGACATTCTTTATTCTAGGAATGTTTCAGTCAGTTCTTGGGGAAATCGTTCGAGATAAAAGCACTGTTTTGAGAAAATAAAGTTAGTACGATTCAGTGTAGCCAAACATAACTCTTCGGTTTTGTTTAAAATATACAGAACTGTAGCAAAGTACTGCATATGGCAAGCCTAAATTTGGTCCCTAAAGTATGTTAAGTTTTATGAAGTTTCTTCTGGACATCATTCAGCGTTTCTTACATCCAGAAACCGATAATTAATAAATACATAAGGCATCTCAAAACAATGCGGTGCATGTCGGACTCACCGTATTGAGAAGGTTACTGAAAGCATCCAAATGTTGAAAACCTGTAAGCCATTAGCTCCTAGTCACCGCACGCTTCCATTCGCTAGTCATTCTTGCGTCCCTTCCGGCATATTCTCATATTACGTCACATCTTATCTGTCGTTGTCGGCGCAAAAATTGGCATGTGCATGCAAAAGATCGTAGTAGCAATACCACTTCTGTGCTAATCCAATATGACTAGAGTTCTTCTTCTTTAAACAGTGTAAACAATGATTTGTAATGTTTTGCAATTCTGCTAGCTTCACCTAGAGATCATTTTGAAGTTCGCTTTCTGATTTGAAATTTTCGTTTGTTTTGCTTTTGCTTCACTTTTTTTTCTTCCGCTGCATTAATTCGATTTGTCACGTTTTATTTTTTCTCATTAAATCGCATAGACGAGAATCGTTCACATAAATTGTCTATTTTTTGCGAGTAGACTAGGTTTCGTGAGCTGCACTTTCTCTTAACGAAGCACAGAATAGTTGCCCTTTCAATGACCTTAGTTTTTGCATGAACCGTTGCATTTTTTATTTACTCTCATCGATCTACGCCTTTCATTATTTCCATACTAGCGTGTCGCCTGACGTTGCCAATGTGGCCTATAGTATTGTCCGATATATTCGCATAATGCAAGTAATCAGAATCATTCTAAAAAAGTATGTAAGTAAATAATATCAAGCCCGGTTATCAGCTTCCGTGCGCTTTTGTTCAAAGTCTAAACTTGATTCACTCGATCTTTCCTCTATAAGTACTGCATCATTCTCTCATGTACATAGCAATTTTCTCCTTTTTTCCACTTTTTTAATGCTGCATCCGCGGCCGTGCTGCTGTTTTTTTTGAGCTCATTGCGTTTGGATGACCAATTTTTTTTTTGAAATTTTTGTTCGAACTAAAATATGTAGCTCTTGTCGCAAGGAGTTTCTCTTGCGGAGATGTCTATTGTTATGTTATGTACATATTTTGCAAGGTGTTAAAGCGCGCATACGACGTCATAGATTGCCAGTAATGTAATGTCAATAAGCAACTTTTTTTGTCCGGAAGGGTTTTTAATTTCTGTGCTTTATAAGTCTTCATTCGAATTCTTTTCCTACATTGACATGCATTCTTAAGTCGCTTACGTAGAGCTCAGGAGACTATCTGATTTGAATCAGCTTTTGACATGTTGATCAGTGGTCGCTAACTTCTCTTCGTTCCTTAAAACCGGATTCATGTCGATTTCGTGCGAATCAAGCAAAACCACCGATTAGTGCGTTCTATGTGTTATATGAGACTTGTGCAACTCCTTTTCAATTTTTTGGCTATTCTTTTTCATAAAGACCAAATAGATTTAGGTGAATCGAGATGACATGTAGTGTCATCGGCGAAGGCAGTAGCGACAGTTCGCCCCAAAAGCTATCACCTCAAGCAGGGCGTTCAAATTCCAGTATGAGGAATACCATAGGCAGAGATTACGGGTATGTTTTTTCTAATTGCATGCAATTGTGTCCGCTCACAATGTGAGCGGAATTTTAAATACTCTATTTTCGATTTTGCAATAATGCTAATTGTTTAGGAAATATGAATTGACGGTTTTGTTGATTACACAATTGAGCTACATACCTATTACAACAACCATGTTATCTACAGCTTTCTATGAGCCTACACAGGTAACTTTTTCTATTTGACTAGTGAACCAGTAATCTAAAGGTGCTATTTGGAAGAATGTTCGCTTTGGGATCCGCCGCGATTTCCGGCTGTTGGAAGATTTTTGAATTGAGCTAACTATTTATATATTAGATTAGATGCGCTAGCTGCAAAAAACTGATCATTTACCAATATTAGAGATTCCTTTGCAATTTCGGTTGAAAATTCCAGCCCACATGTATGCTTCTCAATATCACCAACGATGCTAATGATGCTGCTATGGTTGATCCAGAGGTAAGCTATGGATCAATGTTCACTTCCTTTATTTGGTCTATTATTTGTGTGTCACCATTTTTTGCATTCCTATAGTTAATACCTGGTGCACTTTCTCACTTCTGAAGGTAGCCTTTGCTGAGGTTTAGAGTTTTTGTGCATTTTTCACGAATTTTTAGTATGTATGATATCATCCATGCAAGGAAGCCCGCAAGCGATCTTCAAGATTTTGCTCACTTCAGATAACGGACGAGTTCAATTCATTGTTATTGGATTGGGGTGAAGCTTGTCAGCAGTCACCTCTAACGACACTCATGTCCACAACATTAATGGCTGGAGCCCTAACTGGTTCTTTCGTCGCTGGATGGTTAGCTGATGCTTATGGAAGACTCGTGGTCCTGAAAGGTAATCAGTGTGTCATGCGCACGTTGTGTAACAATCAGCTATGAATCAGGCTGTCTGCTACTGCTGTGCATTGTGAATGTCATATTTTCCTTTGTCGCTACCGTATCATGGTGGTTGTCAGCTACACTTCTATTTACGCTTGGGGCTGGATGTGGAGGATATATGGTATGTAAGCTAACTCTCCACGTGAACGATGAGTGTGACTCGAAAGGGATTCAAAGTCATTGTAAGAATGATTAAAGCAAAGCTTTTAATCTTGTTTCAATCTCATCAAAAACATATCTTACCGAAAACGACGCAGAAACTGCACAGCGCCTTTTCTTGCAGCCAAATTTGCACATACAGTCTGTGTCAACTCGTTTTAGTTTTTTTAACTTTATGTGAAATTTCGCTCATCAGCTCTGCCTAGTGTTGTGCGCCACGTCTTCGTGCGTGTTATATCGCATCAGATTCATACGCCCACACGCGGCGTGAGACTTTGCAGAACGAACGCGCGATCTATACATACGGTAGACAATACCCATATGCATTGACACAGACTGAAGCTTTTTAGTTCATACTATACTCAAAGTTGGTGACTGTTATACACTCAGCTTCATCAATTATTCTGCAGTTTTTCTTGTTTCTTTCTTTTTTTACAACATGTTGCTTCGAAGTTGCGTAGTTTTTGAAGGATGGACAGGATTTCTATTTCGAAAATGGTTACTTTAAGGTTACCAACTTGGTGATACTTATCGAGTGTCTAGATCACTCAAATTCACGATTGCTTGCGGTTTCATTGAACGGATGGAGTATCTCCATGGTAAGTTTCCATCGTTATAAATCTTATACTTCAACAAACACCTAGTATCATCCTGCTGTTTATAGGCATTTGTTGCTTTAATAGCACGACTTACCCAGCACTGGTTCACATTCCACCTCTTCACTGCCCTATTAGCTCTTTTAGCACTTTTAGCATATGTAGGTAGTCATGAGGCATATTCTATAGGATTTGCAAAAGTAAACTATCTTTTACAGCAACTATGGGTTTATGAAAGCTGTCGCTGGCTTGCTGGAAATCATCGTATGGCGGAAGCACGCTCTACAGCCGTTCAAGTCATGGCTAGGAGATCGGAACCTGTTTCATCTTCATCAGTAAATGGTAAGGCAATAATAAAACATTAAAAGTTCAAACATAAACCTCTTTGTCTTGAGTGCAGCTTTTTTGAAAATTACTCGCCAATGCTTTAGAAAAACAGGGAAATTCGTTTGAAATTCTCTTAGACCGTGAATGGTGGGAAATACTTGGGTTCTCTCAACCAGCGGTGAGTTTGCAGGATAAAACCGAAGCTAGAAGGAAGTATACGTACTCGGATCTCTTTAGGTAGTCTACTTATAATAGTGAAACTTAATTGATAACTTAAATAATATTTTAGTCACCCTTCCATATACATCCCTTTGATTGCCTTATGTTACTGCTTCGTATCGTTGTCTGTGGTGTCTTTTGGGTGAGTAAATTTTGGTTTTCACTGTTCATTGCATTGCATATCATATTTTATCTATGTTAATTTTTCTGCTTATATTTAGTTTTTACTTCAACGCCGATGCCTTACCCGGTAATCGTTACCTCAATCTAGCTCTGATGGGGCTTTCAAAATTTGCTCTAGGTAAGTCTGTCAAACTCCACCCTCTGTTTTGCAAGTTACTGTTACAGGTCTTCTACCATTCGCTGTTTCTTCATTTGTTGGGCGTCGCCCCATAGCTTTTGTTTCTGTAGGATTTGCTTGCGCCTGTGCATGGGTGGTGGTCATCAGGTGAGGATACAATCGCATTTGACGATAACTTCTTGAGTTTTTGTGAATGCATACAGTCATGGGATGAGGTCCAGCGAGAGTACAAGTGTTTTTATAACGAGCGCTTGAGATGATTTGAAATGACTGTCTAAGTTTAAGCAGTTTTAGACAAATTAGTAAGCAGTGGCGTGCCGAAGGGGAGGGGGGCGGGGGCGCCTTCCCCGAGAATGGGTCGCGAAATTTTTGAAAGTTACTTATATGGGTTCTGAAAATGTGCAAGTGACTTGTTTATACTAGTAAATAATTAAAATGGTTTTTAAAAATTTTCAAGAATTCAGATTAGCCTTGTAAAAAAGTTTTTTCGGAGACGTAGCTGACGCCACGCCCCTTTTTTTCAGATTTTAGGGGTTGGGGACCGCAAAAATTTTGTGAAGCACCCCTAAAATTTTGCGTGGCTGACGAAAAACCCTTGTCGCCCCTCCCCCCCCCCCAGCGGATCTGGGTAGGCCACTGTTAGTAAGAGATTGAAGACTTACTTGTGTTATTCATCAAATGAATGTTTTAGCCAACTTTGTGGAACAGCAGCGAATCACTGGTCCCTGGTTGCCTTATCCCTGATGGTTTCGGCTGCCCTCGATCCGGCGTGGAAGATCACTCATCTACATTCAGCTGAACTATTCCCAACGGTTGTGCGAAACATGGCACGTGCCGTCTGCAATGTCGCAGCAAGGCTGGGATCTGTGGCAGCTCCATTGGTCAGTTTTTTACAGACCACTCGAGCAGATTAGCGTGCTAAATTTCCACATTAGCATTTGCAAAAGATACCTATCCACATTTCGTCGAGTCGTCGACCGCATAGACTGGTTGTGGATTGCGGAGTATGCGCGTCGCGGTTGAAATGTCATCAGAGCACGAGTTGCACAACGGTGATTTGCGCTGGTACAAGCGATCGGCAGCGCGGCGCGTGCTCCGTAATCTGCGACGCGTTTGGGCGCTCAGCGCGACCCACATGCAAATAAATATCATTGTTTCCAGGTTGTGCACTCACGGACCATGCATTACCTCGTCCCTTATGTAGCATTTGGTGCATTTCTCACAATCCAATTAGTGGTAGTAGCAGCTTTCATACCGGAAACTAAGGATAAACCCCTCCCTGAAGAGCTGCCAACTGTTTTGAGTACTACGCCTCCTGCAGTTCAAACGGATCAAGAAATGGAGATGAAAACGGGTACCCCAAGCTCATTAGATGTTTGATATTTGAATAGTATTGGAGATGAAATGTTGATATGGAAATGACTGCTATTCCCATCTCTTTTACCCTATTTCTTCTTCTTTTGTCGCTGTGAATTTGTACTACTGACCTACCAACCCAAGTCCTAAATACTCGTTGTTTTATCAATTCCAGATTTTATATGTGATTGTACATAGTGTTAAAAATCATGTTTCATTGTTCTGTGATAGAATTCGGTGATTATCTGTCCTTTCAAGCTTTAAGGTCATTCACAAAATTAACTGCATGAAGAGTTTACGTGACGACATACAATGCCGAAATAATAAAGATTCCATGCAAAGATTAGTTCTACAAATTATAGAGTAATTCCAAAAAGAGGGCTTAAACGTGATTTTGTTATTCATCATTCACATATATCTTTAGATTGAATAGATGATCAAGACACGTAAAAGTCACAGTTTTGAGATGGCGTGAATTTGACAAAGCTTTTATGGAATGAAAAGCCCGTTGTGTATTAGAAAAAATGATCAAAGGCCTCTAAAACCGTAGAAAAAGTTTCTTCCCCTCAAACCTTTGGGGGGGGGGGGGGGGGTTGACAAATTGGGTTTTTTGTCTTCAGTATTCATACTGTCCAATATCTGACGATTATAGCGCTGGCGGTTACGACAACATTTGCGCGGAAATAAATGCCATGCGTGCGAATGCTGACAAGTTGCTTGCGAGCTGCGCGTGAAAGATGGCCGCAAAGCGCACAATGCCACCGTTTACGCGAAAATCTTGTCACCAACGCAAGAACACTATACTAACCGTCGAATATCTATATTAGGTAGCTCCTCATAATTTATGTGCGAAATAAATGTACTGTCGTCCGTTGACCGCACGGACTGTTCAAACGCTGCGGAGACGAGTGGCGCGGCTGAATCGTCGCGAGAGCACGATTTGTACAATGGCGAATTTGTACTGGGGCAAGCGTTTTACCTCGCGGCGCGTGCTCCGCAATGTTGTCCAGTCCGTGCGGTCAACGAATTAACTATAAATAGTTTGACGTTGAAAGCAGAAAATCAAACAAATTCAGACACAGTGCAGTATCAGTATCGATCGATGGGGGCTTACGAGTTGCGGTGATATACGGTATATGTGCAGAAAGGGTCACTCATTCAAATTCTTCATAGGAAATGTGAGGGAATTCAGAAAAATAGGAAAAATCGATGAAATGCGGATCGAATAGCTATAAGTGGGTCATGATGAGCAAACATCAGATGGTTCTTATCAAAAGCGTTTAAACCGATAAAGATGTGTACTGGAACAGCAGATCAGTAGCACAAATATACTGCCGCTCTTCAGTACCGGTTTTTTTCAGTCTCTGATCTCAGATGTGATCGAGGACAATCACTCCTGTGGATCGATACTCTTGCGCATTTCTTTGAAGTTATGGCCGCGGTCAGAGGTGTTGTAAAGGTCGTCATTTGTGCCAGCAAGATAGATCGCTTTGTTGACAGATTCTTTCCGGAGCGGTGCAGAAAAAAGACCTCACGTGTATTGAAGTCATTATGGCAACATTTTTGAATCTGTTTGTTTCAATCAAACTCCTTTTTGAGGCTTTTATCAGTCTTTGCCGTATCTTTCGTCCTTGTAATACATTTTTAAAGTAACATTCACTACTTTACCAGTTTGAAATTGAATATTTACAGTGTTGGTTGCCAAGAATGTTTATGACTCTTGCAAGAAAACCTGTTCTTGTAACTTCCTGCCTACATAAGCAGTACAAACAAAGTGTTCGCCTCCTTTTGCACTCACTCAACAAGTGTTTTTTAAATTCATCAAACTCAGTACTCATTTTTTATGAAATGAGCGTTTAGTGAAAATCTTATCAGTATTTTTCTGATACTTTGGTTAGCTTACATATTCCCTGCAAGGAAAACTTAGGATCGCACTCATTTGTTAATTCCTACTCATCTTTAATATTTTTGCCTGTCACTTGAGTTTTTGTCGTTTTTATGCATTCTTCAAGCATTTTAGGCCTTGAAATTTTAGAATTAGCGATAACTTATCCATGGCCAAAAACAGCACTTCCTGAAAATTTTTTCTTGCTGTGAAATGGCATTACTCGCGTTTTTTCCCCAAAAAAAGTCTTTTTTTGGATTACCTTGCATTTTTATCACGAGGATTGCCATCCACTAGAAGAAAGTTCATTCGACCTCAAGGTCATTCCTAGATTCTTTCCTGAAACCATCTGCCAGAGCGGACACACGTTGTTGTGATTTACTCGAATCAAGATACATTTTGCATTTCTTCATACGATAAAAGAAACTACTCCATTTCCAAGTTTTTTTTATTACATGAGCTTTTGTCGTAAGAATGTGGACCTACTTGTTATAGCTTGCAGGGATATTCAAAGACGTTATTTTTGATAGAGTTAAATTTTGTCACTCTTAAATTCTTTCATCCGTTTTTTCCATCTAAGAATCTTTCACATGTTACGTATTTCATCGACATCTCTTGTGAACGTCCTCTTCTTTCTTGTTGACTTTTTTCTATAGTTTTTTCTTGCGTTCCCAGAAGAACACAAAAGAGTGAAAGTGATTGATAGAACCTGTTGCAAATGACTGCAACATCTGTTCCAACTTTTTGATAAAAACTTTTGATAAAAACTGATAACTTGAAGTGCATCACAGGGTATTTATTGCAGGCATATGACAATGTTTATGAGAGACCTTACGCATAAAAAGTGTTCTTCGAGTTGTTGTTTAATGGACTGATCATCCGTTCAACTTTATCATCTCAACTGTCTACTTTTTTCACTCTCCAAAACTTTTTCAATCATCAAGGTGGACAAAGCTGCCTTTTCTCATTTTTTTCTCAAACATCTTTACTCTTACTATATTACTTTCAAATCTTTACTATTTATCTTTACTGTATACAATCCATTTGAACTACCTCGTTCATTTACTATTTATCCACTTATTCATAGATTCCGTAAACTGATTTCGCCTAGTTGTTATCTACTGACTAATCTATTTGCTTCTTTATCCGTTATTTACCAATTCCATTTTTTCAGTCATTCACTCATCTTTTCATCCTTACTACCACTCATATATGCAGGTAATCTCCTTATATATTAGGTTGAACCGAAAGTGTCGTCGCACCATTTTCAAAATTTCATAACTTCTGATTTTCCAACCGATTTGTCTGCTTCTATTTTTGTATGAAAGAGTAAGTTATGCTCTTTATAATGAAGTCTTAGTTGCTTACTAATGATCATCTGTTGCATAAATAGGAGCGATAGAAGAAAATTAGTCAAAATTCGAATTTTCTGTATAGGGTCATAAAAAATCGGAAACTTGCAACAAAAATCGGAGCAGTCGGTATTGTAGGTCTTTTCACCAGCTCTTTCCAACAGTGCAAAGTTTGCGCTGATTGAGCTTCTCTCTGAAAAGTTTTGATTTTCCTGAAAAAGCCAAAATATGTCAAAATCGCCTTTTTGTATTGCTCGAAAATCATAAATTTTCAGAGAGAAGCTCAATCAGCGCAAACTTTGCACTGTCGGAAAGAGCTGGTGAAAGGACCTACAATATCGACTGCTCCGATTTTTGTTGCAAGTTTCCGATTTTTTATGACCCTACACAGAAAATTCGAATTTTGACTAATTTTCTTCTATCGCTCCTATCTATGCAACAGATGATCATTAGTAAGCAACTAAGACTTCATTATAAAGAGCATGACTTACTCTTTCATACAAAAATAGAAGCATACAAATCGGTTGGAAAATCAGAAGTTATGAAATTTTGAAAATGGTGCGACAGAACTTTCGGTTCAACCTAATATTTAATCTATCCATCCTGTTTACCGAACAGCTAATTTCATTTATCTGATTTTTCACCTATTTTGTTTATTTTATTTGGAACTATCCATTGATATTTTCGTAATGATTTGGATTCTTATATATGCATTGAATTCAATTACAATTATATGCTTTCACTCGTCCATCCATACTACTCTTAGTCATTTCGTGAATTTACTAAAATCTCTGCAGTGTAATATCTTCACTCGCTTTCAATCTCTAGATTCGGGAAGAAGGATATTCTTTACCTGCATAGAAAGCGAGAAGCCATGTATCTATAACTCCATCAGATTCATTCAATCCAATTTATGTATTCAGTTTCTGGATCCATTCCAAGCATTCACTTATTAGAAATCCAATTGCTCTTGCTTTGCAACAAGGTTCTCGAGGCATTCAATTTTTGAAATCTAATTGCCCTTGCGCGATAATTTTCTCTACATTTTTCGTAATCCGCACTCTTCTCTCACATTCTTCTCTGTCAATTCAATATGCGTCCGCTACAGCCACATGTTCCTCGTCCCTTGCAGTGTAATTACAGCAATAAAGAACAAATTTCTTGAGATTCTGCATGTTTAATTGCATTTTGGTAGCGAAACTTTGTCTCATCTCCATAACTTATCGTATGAGTTTTTCAGATATCAGTTTGGCACTGTTATGGGCATAAAAGTTAGCCAGCTGTTTCTTTATGGAGCTTTGTGAGTTTTTCTTCGAATTGATCTACTCAAAAAGAGAAGAGTTGAAAAAAGACAAGTCTTTTGCGAAAAGTGCGCTAACGAACGTTCCGCACTAACGTGAAAATCTCTGATTTCTTTCCGCTATGAGGAAAACTGGCAGCGATCCAATAAAACCAGTTTGGGAAAACTGCCTTTTTTCGCGAAGAACTGAAGAAGTGTATAGGGGAAAATTATCATTGTTGTCCACATGTTTCTGTTCAAGATAATGTACACAGCGTAAAAAACATCTGATTTCCACATTCTGCAAAATTACATGAATTCTATGCTTTCAAGAATTCCAAAGTTTGAAGATGCTTGGTCTCAGAATGTTTCATTATATTGAACGCAAAATTTTCCCTTTTTTTATGTCATTCTGGCCTTGAAAGAAAGAAGAAATGTTTGAATTAAAAAATAAGCTACTATGAATCTTTGCATGCGCAGAAAAGACGGCTGTAGTTCAATTTAACTTATGGAGAATTTTGAAAGAAATTTGAGCTCATTACAGCATATGCAACCAACCGAGGTAGTGTTTCTCTTTATCATTAATCTTGAAAAGAATACTGTGGTATTACAAAAATTAATCTTGAAACTGATGCGCAATAAACTTTGGTTATCTCCTGTTTGCAGATACACACGAAATACTTATTCCTATCGCCTTTCCAGCATTTTCAAACTTCACGGTGCTAGATTTTCTGGTTTTTTTTCAAACCGATCATGTGTAACCGTGGAACTGATTATATTGTTCTCAGTTAATGCAACAGTGTAATATACAGCTCATTACAAATTCACAGATCAGAAATGGGTAGAGGGTATTAAACACCTCAAAGTCCCTCCTCTCCGAACAACTGGCACAGAGCATGCATTTTTGCACTTCCCATGCTAATTGTGTTGAGGAATGTTTTTAAAGATGTAACGTCTCTTACTTCTGAATAGATCGAGATTAGCGAGGGCTGCTTTAGCCGCCTACGCACTCAAAATTAAACACTAAAACAAATAAGGACTGCTTTTCAAATGAGAATTCTCGCTAGGCAAATTGATATGGTTATCTATTTATCGAAGTTACAGAGGCGTACTTGTATCATGGATCGCACTTTATTATCGATACAACGATGACAGCAAAATCACTGCACAGCAATATGAGTGAGTAAATTGCATATAAATAATCAACATGGACTCTGATGGTTTAGACTTCCACCGCGACCGAAACTGGAAGGACCTATGGCGATTAACGATAAATTGAAAAATGTGGAGTATATTTTGAAGGATAAAATAGATGGACCAGAATCATTGCTAGTTGAAGGAGGTAAGTTGAAAGGTCACCATTATTACAGTTAGAAAATTTACCTGCATAACCAGATAATTTACCGATTAACGCAGGCTGGGGTCTATATCAATAATCAGCAAAAGAGGAGAGGGTGGTAGCGCGTACCCAGGATTTCCGCTCGAGAGAGAGGGGGAAGGGACAAAAAGTTTTTTTTCTGATGAAGGCGGTGGCGTTAGCCACTCACTTCGAAATTTTCTGGTTTGCTCTCAAATTTTCCGGACCATAGTCCTGAAATTGCAGAAAAGAGGGCGTGGGGTCAGCCAAGCGCCCGAAAAATTTTTCTGTAAAGTAAATTGAATGTTAAAAATTTTTCAGAAATTATTCTACTATTCTCTTATTCTAAATTATTTTAATAATAAACTCATTTTAATTTTATTAAATAAATAAATAAATAAATAAATAAATTTTACATATCGAGTTTTTCATTTGAATTGTTTCCCATAATAAAGGAAATTTGATTTCTAAAAATTGCTTCTAGATTCTATCTATACGGGTCTCTACGATGGACGAGTTGTCCACATCAAAGGCGACAAGATTGTGAAGGAAGTGCGTTTTACAAAGCAGACCAAATGCGGTAGGTTATGAATGCACAATAAAATGAAGTAAGGTGCTGGTAAAATCATTAGAATTGCTTAGCAAAACCAAAGTTTTTTCAAAAGCCTTTTGGAAGCGGCAAGAAAACTCTCCATTCTTAGAAGAAGTATTCCTACTCCTCTTTCTTTTTAGGATCATACGAAACTGAACCGATCTGTGGTCGCCCTCTAGGAATTCGTAGACTCAGTAAAAAGGAGCTGCTAGTAGCAGATGCCTATTTAGGAATTTTTGCAGTGGATATGCAGGCAGGTCTGATTATTCATACCTTCCTCATCGAACCGATTCTACAAGAGTTTATGCAGCAATTCAGGTACTTTTCGAAATATCATCAAGAGCAATATACCCGTTGAAGGAAGGCTGATGAGGTTCATCAATGATGTCGAGGTAGGCGGTGCGAGAATTTGATATCTGTCATAAAAAGTATCTATCTAGGTGCTGAACGAGGACGAGTTTGTGTTTACGGATAGCTCTTCGAAGTGGGACAGACGCCATTTCTTCCATATAATATTAGAACACGAGGCTACAGGAAGGTAAACTTCGCTAAGAAAATGATATTTTCATAATTATCATTTCAAACTACCCTTTTAGAATTCTCAAGCACAAAATCTCAGCTGGGGAAACAACCGTAGTTCTTGATAATCTATTCTTCCCAAATGGGATTCAGGTATCGTCTGAATATTTATTGATGGTGGCTAAACCTTTCAAAACTTTTTTTTATTAAATCTGAAAAAATTCCTCCGCCTTAGGTCCATCCCGATGGCAAATCACTTTTGTTTGCAGAGCTGATCGAGGCAAGAATCAATCGGTATGTATTCAGTTTTATAAGTGAACTTCCAATATTTCCATATAATTTTCTTCATATTAATTTGTTTTATTCTACAATGATTAATATCTATTGATTTTCAATTTTTCCTAAAAATTTTTTCGTTTTCTATATACATTAAAGTGGTAGATTATTTCAAGCTTCAAAAATGGTTCTTTTCAAGCTTCGACTTCAGAGCTACTTTTCGCATAACATTATTGAATAGCAATGGCTTTTTCCTAAAGACAAATTTGAAGTTTTTTGATCTGTTTTTGTGAAGTTTGCTTACCATTCAATCTTTCTGAAGGTCAGTACACACCATACCCTCTTATCTGAACCGGTTTTCTACTGCCGAACCTTGTTATTTTCGCCTCTGCTCTATGTTGGAGACCAGTTTTAAAAAATAAAAATGTTCAGATACAATTCTGAAACGAAAGAGGTGACCCCGTTCGCTACGAATCTACCAGGTTTTCCGGACAATATACGACCAGGGGCGGGTAGCACGTTGTGGGTAGGGTTGGGTGGTAAGTCACTTAAAAGTTACTACCTTAGCCATATAAGTAAAGCGTAATTTGAGGTGTTCGACATGAGGACGCCTTATCAATGATAGACGCAGGTGGAGCATTCTCATTGATTAGGCAACTTTTGATAGATGTGAGTTAGTCGAGGCTATAACACTTTTTTGACTCACCAACTCTTTAGTGTCCCATGTACGGTCCACTGCCGGACGAAGGCGGTCGTCCACGAAGCGGTGCGGTCGCGAACGCTGCGCGCGGGTACTCACCATCGTTCTGTTTTTGCCCTAGTACGCTTACGCTTGATTGAAAACGCTTCGCGTCCGCTTCGCTTTCGAGAGTCGATCTCTTCCTCCGGCAATAGAATTACAGAATTATTGTAATCTGTTTATAGTTCATACCCGATGACTGGTGGGTAAAATACTCCCACATGGTGAAACCGAAACACGCTATGGTAGTTCAACTGAATGCCGATGGTGAAATTGTGCAAACACTCCACGATGTTAATGGTGTACATATCCAAGATGCTTCACAGGTAATTCGAGCGTTGGCATCTTGCCAAAAAATTCAAATTTACCTTTTGCAGGTCTCACAATACGGTGACTATTTATACTTTGGCAGTTTTCATAGCAAATACATTGCAAGGTTACGTCTTGAAGGATAAACGAAAGTCTCATTGTTCTTACTGATTTTTTTCTATTAACTAATGTTTGTTACTGCCTTTATCTTAAATAAAACCGTTTTGATTTACTTCTCGATTTTGTTTGAAAGCGGTGAGTTTTGTACACGATTATAGAAAAAAAATTAGAGCACATATTGTGTGATGAATGGTTGTCGACAATCGGTCCCATACTGTTGGGCGATGTACAGGATTTGTTCCCTCGAATAGAAAGTCTGCGCACTGCAATGGTTGAGATCAGAAATAACTCAATACTCAAGGCGGGCCAACGCCCATGGACGCGCCATGCCTTGATTGATTGAAGTTTCAACACGGCGCTAGCACGGTGCTGGCACGGTCAACTTTGGAAGCAGCATTGAGATCAAATAGCAGTGAACCGAGTTTGAAGGCTATAAAACGTTTTCTAACGTATCCGATGCAGCTATTCCCTTTGTATTGGCCTGCCATGCCAGACAGCCAAATTCGCCGCTTTCACGAAATGGTCCCAGTTTACTAATCACAATTTCATATAACTTAAAATTTTGCTAATTTACAGTATACATCACTCAACGTAAAGGCTGCTGCATGACGAAGGCGCAATATCTTCGAGCGCGAACGCGGCTTTATTAGCCGCAGAGCGCATGAGGTGCGGGACCTACAACGATGAGGATACGCGCGCGTCGCGTTTGCGCCCGCTCAATTAATATCGCCACTGCGCCTTCGTCATGCAGCAGCCTTCAAAAAGATCACACTGCTGATGAACGGAGCAAAAGCCAAAGAAGTTTTGAAAACGTAAGGGCATCGAACTATGTTGTCTCAAAACACCTATGCCGAATGTGAAGGCCAATCCTTTTGAATAGTTGACTTTTCAGATAGATCTCCTAAAAAATCGTTCTAGCGCATTTGCGTTCGTGGAGAAACGGCGGTGATGTCGTAAAAGCTTATGGACCGGAAGGTAGACATAAATATCAAAGAACAAGAAAACTGCATTCGAATAGACACTAAGCCGCTCTTCGTTCGCTACTCTTCAAGATTTGATGAATATGAAATAGCAAAAAAGCTCTCGAAAACACCTGAGAGAAAGAAAAAGTGCAAAAATACACATTGCTGTAACTGATCTAATTCATAATATTGATTTTACCTAAAAATCAATAACCATTCGCAATTAGGGACGTTCGTGGAGCAGCATGAGTCAGATGAGGAGGCGAAATGGTGTGATCGTATCGTTGTCGGCCATGACAACGTCCGTCCATAACATATATCAAAGGCGATCGTGCACGTCTTTCCAGAAGCCAACATTTATTCTTCAACGAATGGCATATTTATCGAACGGTTTGCCAGTATCTTGGACAAATTCAATGTCTTCTTCGCAGTTCGAAATTGTTTTCCTCAAACTACATGAAATATCAAATTTTTCATCTTTCTTATCAGTGTTTTTTTTTCTTCCGAACATACCTGAAGATTGAAACCTGATTTCATTGCCTATAGTGCTCCATGGTAAATCAACTTTGGAGTATTATTGAATTGGCTGTAATGTTGCCTAAAAAATGCGAAAATTTTTTGAAGAAATGCGTAAAATAAGGTTTAATGTATATAATTTTGTAGTACATAGAAAATGTTGCTGGTAATTTTGTATACAACAAAATGAACCATTTTTATTTTATTTTTAAGTACTACATAGGAACATCAAAAATTGCATTTTTTTTAATTTTTATGTGCTACACAGGAACATCAAAAAATTGCACTATTAAACAAAAAGTTCGAATACTAACTTCAAAAACGTAACTACGTATAGGCGGGGAATTCAAAGCTCGAATTTTTCTCTTTCAAAAAAAGATTGCAAGGCCGTAATGGAAATCAAAATTTGGTAACCTTATCTGTTTAATGAGCAATCGATAATTGAAAAAAAAGACATTCCGTGTGTTAATTAGATTAGATCTTGACGACATGTCAACATTGTTTTTTGCTGATGGACTAAAGGACATAATTTTTCTTTTGAAGGAAGCAAATCTTTTTTGAAAAATATTGGTGCAGAATGCACAATTCTGATTTACAAGTGATTTTTATGATTGACTTAGCGCTCACTCCATGACAAAAAGTGTTAAACAATCCAGGATACCCTGATCTCCGTGCATTGCCAAAGAATTTGAAAAGCCAACTCTGGGGGGGGGGGCAAAGTACCGAAAAATCCGAAGAAGTGATTTTGGTTGTTTCTCAGCCAGTACATTATTTAAAGATTTTCATAAATCCTTTATTTTTAGACTTTTCAGAACTTACATGATACGAAACCCTTACATGGTACGAAAATGAAAGCCATAAATTCGTGAGACAGAAATTCTAGTCGGATAACAGCTTTTTTCAAAACAATTGAAAAATTGAAGAACTCAGTACAGTGTAAAAGAATTTCGACCAAGCATTTCAAATGCAGTGGAAACCAGAATTGTAGACAAAATTTTTCCGGTTTCAAAACGTTGGCATAACTTGCCGCACTGACGACGATCATTCTTCTTCGTTTTTGGGCTGTATAGAGTTTTTACGGTTGAACCAAATGCGGTAGATGTTGCAATTTGTCCCGATTTTGATTTCTCCATTTTTTCCCAAAATCTTTGTACAATGACGTTTCTCGCTCTCAATACAAGAAAAGCACGTCCGTTGACTTCTTCCTTTTAACTAGAATTCTTTTCGGTTTTGCTAAAAGGCCGTCAATATTATGACGTCATACAAAAAACACTTTCTGTTAAGCTTCGTGTTAGTTCCTGTATTAATGTCATATGACAGGTAAAGCGATAACAGCAATACCCTTTTTCTTTTTCATGTAGTCTTGTTTCCAAAGTATGAGTCAAACTTATTGTTAGTAAATTTTTGTCTAGTGAGTTTCAAATGTCATTGGAAAAAATCGATAGAAGATCTATCATAATTTTCGGTTTCAATGTTGCGCTTTATTTTGCGAAACTAGTGAGTACCGTTCTTCCTCGCTGTCGCGGATGGGTAAAAAAGGGCTTTGGATTTTTATCTTTAATCCCGGGCAGTTATTCATAATTATTAGTGATTAATGATTTTGAGCTCCTGACTACCTTGTAAACTGCACAAAAATGTTTAAAGCATTTTATGTACAAAAAATTGCAGTTGGACCGCATCGCAATACGTCTGGAATAAGCAAAATAACTAAAAAAATGGAAGGACGTCTTTGACGTATTTCTTATATTCTGTAAGAGAAAAGATAGAGGAAAGAGGAGCTTGGAGAGGTGGAGGGGAAGAAGGGCGGGGGGGGAAGGAAAAGGAAGAGAATACAGTTTCGTCAGCTTGCAAACTAGTCCGTTCCACCGCCCTGGAGCGGTATCAGAAGAGTCGATACCGATCAATACAGATCGCGTCCTTGTGATTCCGTCACGGCACTGGAACGGAGTTGGAACGGCGCCGGCACTGCGTTTGCACATAGGCGCCACGGACACTGCAGTTTCTGAGCGCTGCATATTTTTGTAATTGCCGCCATCGTCGACTGCTATATGAAAAGCCGAAGTCCTAATTATTGAACTCTTTCTTCCCATCCCCCTTCCCTCCTTCTCACCCTATCTACTCTGCCACGTCTTTTCCTTTCCGAAATCAAAACTGAAAGCCCCGACGCTATATAGGAATGTTTATGCAAAAACGCGTGCATTCTGTTCGTGAGCGAAAATGTCGGCTATGAGCTGTGAGAAGGCGATGAGTCAAGCCCTTATCGGCATCGGGTCTATTCTCCCTTCATATGTACAAATGTATTGTTGACTCGACTGTATCGGCGCCGTTATAGTTCCACAATTTTTGGTGCCTCGTGACATAATGTGACGGTCATGACAGTCGCGCCTTTCACTTCAATGTCATAATGTAGCTAGTGGATTCAAATACACAAATTTTTTTGAGCAAAATATTTTGTTTTTCCACACCTTCCATCGCTCTTCTAGCTATCTTTTCCTGACCAACACCAGTTCCTAATCAGTTGTGCAAACACACTCGTCACAATATTACGGATTGATACCGTATCTTTCACAAGGTCACTCCAAGTGTGCTTCCAAGCTCTTTGCACTTACCACTCTTGTACTTCATGTCCTTCCCCCCTCCCCCCTACCCAACCATTTTCTCTCTTTTACAGTGAGCTGGAAGATTGACTATTCCAGCAGAACATTTGCATGACTTACTTTGCAGAAAAAATCTTCTCTATTGGCTTATCAGTTACTCTGACTCATCCTTCTAACGGACAATATGTTGTAAAGAAAAACATTCTTATTATCAGTGCACATCAAGTACAAATACCGAAATAATCACTCTGAAGGGTAGGGCTGCTACCTGGTATTACTTGGAAAAACTCCTAAATACAACCGAAAAAAGTCAGAAAGATTTTTATGCCTCTTAAATGTCGATTATTGACAATCTCTTTCAAAATACCATGTCAGGAATGTTTGACGCTTTTTGAAGGTATCAGTGTATGGCCATAAAACAGCGACAGTCCGAGAAAATTTCTCGGAATATTTTGAATGGAGTGGGAGGGGGGGGGGGGTGGCAATGTCCAGCCCTCGAAAAATTCTCGGCATGCATTTCCAATATATTAGGTCGTTTCATAAGTTCGTAGAGTTTTCATTCTCGTCATTTCTTTAAGGAGCGGTTGATTTACGGCAAGATGCGTATACTATCGCGAAGAGCTGATCATCCTCTTCAAAATGGCCCAATTACTTTCTTTGAAAAGCTGATCTGCTTTGATTTCTCAGCTTTCAAAGAAGGACTTTTCAGAAGGCAAAAAGAAGCATTTTTGGCACTTGCTCTTTTTTCTCATAAAAAAGAACTTTGCTCAGATTTTTTTGCCGATTATGGAAGATGGCTTTTTCTCGTCAATATGAGACAAGAAAGAAATAAGACTGCTTTAAAAACAAAGAGTTTGCAGGGTGTCAGCTGAACAAGACTTTTTGCAGGATGGGCAGGAGGTTATGCACTGATTTTTGCTAGGCAGGAACAAGCGGTCGCCATACCTATGCGTTCAGACTGCACTTCTAAACAAACCCCTACAGCAGAAGAGGTCTAATAAACAAGTCCAGTAGAATTTTCTTTTCTTTTCT